CCTGAAGTTGTGGGTGTCTGGTATTTTATTACACAGGGACAAATAATGTGACTATGATAGATTTTGGCAACAAGGTTGGGGTACCTGATGTGATGCCACCTACCCATATGGTTTAGAACCTCTTGGAAATGCTCCACTGTAGTTTGGTAAAGTTTGGAGATGTTGGCTGGAGAAGCTGTCCTAGAATGCTATGAGCCAAGCCTGATGGGAGGTTCTGGTCAGAGCTCAAAAGACAAGAATGAAGAATGGAATGCAGATGGTAAAGACTAGGTTCAGGAGGTTTCTGTTGGGAACAAAGACTCTATAGCAATTGGACTTGACATGGTATATGCTGTGCTATGATAAAAAGTTTGTCAACATTTTGCTCATGTTCTGAGGTTTGAAAGGAGACTCAATAAGGACAGATGTTTAAAAGAGAAAATTTCAGGTGAGCGCAACATTGTAGATGTGGCATAGATACTGTTCGGAATTTTCAGCCAGTTGATACTGTAAATCAAGAGCTAAAATTCCTTTTTTTTTTGAGACAAGGTCTTGCTATGTAGCTCAGACTGGCCTTGAATTCAGTATGTAGTCTAGACTGGCCTTGTACTCTTGGCAATGTTCCTGCCTCAGCCTCCTGAGTGCTGGGATTACAAAAATGTGCCTCCACACCTGGCTAAAAGTCCATTTTAAAAGTTTTCAGTTTTGCCAGAAAGAACATTCCTGCAAAGATGGAGCAGAAGACAGTTTAGCTGCTAAAAAGATTAGCATTAAAAAAGAAGCTAAGTACTTTGGATCAAGACAATAGGAAAACTGGCTTGGACAAATATGAGAAATCAGCAAGATTGCTCCTTCCCTTTGCCTGCTCAAGAATGAAAAGTGAAAGACTGTTTTGAGAAGATGGCCCCAAGGCACCCTACTTGTTGAAGGCTGCCTTGAGAACTGGTTCCCCAGGATTGGGTTCACAGTGTTTGGCCATCGACAAACTCAGAGACCTCAACAACCACAATTCAAGAGAGCCTGGCTACTCCTTCTGGATGCAGGCTAAACCACATGCTGCTGCTTTTACAGGCATTCAGAATTGCAAGAGTTGAGGGGACCGGCAGGCTTCAACCTAGAATTCAGAAGAATGCCTTCACAGCTAGGCAGTATGCCTTTGAGAGGGCAATGCATTAAGTCATAAGAATGAAGTTTAAAGTGCAGTGGAGATCGCAGAAAGTTGGAGGAGCCAGGTACATGGAATGTCCGAAGAAAGCCACAACTAGTGAGCAAAGCCTGTCCATGATAGAAACCATGAGGTTGTAACCACTAGCAATGTTGTACAGGTGAGGCTACCCAAGCCATTTGGAGATGGAATTTCAGCACCACTTGCACATGGTGCTAGACATGAAACAATGGGATTTAATGTTTACCCTGATGTGTTTCATTCTTGCTTTGGTCCTGTTGCTTTCTATTTTTTCTCTTTCTTTCTTCTGGAATGAGAATGTTTACCCTATACTGTTGTGTATTTTTTTTAACAGGGGCTCACAGATAAGAGTTCACTTTGAGCTTCAGAGACTTTTCCGTTTCTTTCTTTTCTTTCTTTCCTTCCTTCCTTCCTTCCTTCCTTCCTTC